GTATTCCCTCGTTATCCAGGTGGGTGCCTGATTACCAAACTTGAATTGTATTCCCTCGTTATCCAGGTGGGTGCCTGATTACCAAACTTGAATTGTATTCCCTCGTTATCCAGGTGGGTGCCTGATTACCAAAACTTGAATTGTATTCCCTCGTTATCCAGGTGGGCGCCTGATTACCAAAACTTGAATTGTATTCCCTCGTATCCAGGTGGGCGCCTGATTACCAAAAACTTGAATTGTATTCACTCGTTATCCAGGTGGATGCCTGATTACCAAAGCTTGAATTGTATTCCCTTGTTATCCAGGTGGCGCCTGATTACCAAAACTTGAATTGTATTCCTTCGTTATTCAGGTGGGCGCTTGATTACCAAAACTTGAATAGAATTCCCTCATTATCCAGGTGCACGCCTGATTACCAAAAACTTGAATTGTATTACCTCGTTATCCACGTGGGTGCCTAATTACAAAAAACTTGAAATGTATTCCCTCGTTATCCAGGTGGGCGCCTGATATTACAACAAAACAGAAAAAAAAATTCTGCCCCAGTTTGGAATCTGGGCACATCAGTGAGTGTTGATCGAATCATGTTACCTTAAAGAGGTCTAAGAATTTAAAAGCTAAATCCCATTATTCAAGAGGGCCCTGAAAACTTCAAATTAAATCTCATCTTAAGAGTGACAACTTTAAAGCTAAATTATATTTTCTTACACTAAAACTTAAAACTAAGTCCCATTATCCATGAGGGTCCTGAAAAACTAAATCTCATTATTCAGGAGGGTCCTGAAAACTTATAAACTAAATCTCATTATCTAGGAAGGTCCTAAAAACTTTTAAAATTAAATCTCATTATCCAGTAGGGTCCTGAAAACTTTCAAAATTAAATCCCATTATCCAGGAGGGTCCTGAGAGCTTTTAAAAATTAAATCCCATTATCCAGGAGGGTCCTGAGAGCCGAGAATGAACTTACCTGAGCCATGCTCTCGTCTTGGAGGATTCTGAACAGAATTTCTTGCCCCTGAACCATGCCTTTTCATGGGAGGTCCCTGTGGTTAACAAACTTTCTTGCCCCTGTTTTAGACGAATAAAATTTTGTTAGTTTGAAAATGTGGTGGTTAGTTTGTGGCCTTGACCTTGAAGGTAGATGCTTCTACACTTTCCAAGATAACTTTGATTTCAACTTGAACGACCTTGATTGTTATCGATTATCCATTTCCTTTCAACCCTTATCACAAAAAAAAACACCTCTGCTCCATTCGATCTCAATATTCTCTATCTGTTGCATTTTGCTCATGAATTGACATTTACCGAACCCTTGCATTTCATATGAATCCCAAAGCATGTTGATTGTTACCAACTCAGTGCGCATACTGTCCTTTCCTGACTTATGCCACTTTTATGTGCTAGCCAAACTCCGCTTTATGCATTTGGAAAGCTGGTGGCAGATTTTGAAGTCATTTCTTACTTGTTCTAACAAAACAGACTCCAGAGGACTTAAACAAAGCAAGAAGAACATAGTTAAGGGGACAAGAGATAACATCTAACAAGAAAATCACTGAGTAGGGACTTATCAGATATATATACCAACTCTAATGACCGTGACATGCATTTTGGATTAAAGCGGCCTTCAACTAATGTTGTGCCTCTAAGTTGTGAAACTGGGCTTCAGTGCTCCAATTGTCCTATTTGATCCACAATTCTTAGTCGACTTGTAGTGCCCTGAAGGGTTTTCACCATCAAGCCTCTCATTTTGCTCTTTCTCTCAACTCACCATCGCCTTACGGTGCCCATAAGGTTTTCACCGATAAGACTCTCTCATTTTATCATTTTCTCTCTTTGTGTTGAGAACAAGGTATTACCCATGATACAAGAAGATAAGACTTTTACCACACACGTTATTTGACCTCCTCAAAGATTGGTCAGAAGGTCTTTCTTTGGACCGTAATGCAGTCTTTTGGACAGTGTTAGAAAGAAAGGGTGGCATGAAGGCTCAAAATAATTTAAGATGAAAAGGGTTCAAAATTACAACTTTTGGAATCAGATCTTTTGGCAAAATTAAAACTCCTGCCCCAGTTTCTTGGAGTTTGGGGATTTTTTTAAAATTTTTGCTTTGATGGAATTTCTAAGAAAAACTACCCCACTCTTGGCTTTGGGGATTATGAAATATTTTATTTGGTGCGACCGAACCGTAAGGCTGCCTATGTATCTTGTGGTGACAAGAATCAGGTCGAACGTAGTTCAAAAGACAAAGTTTATTTTTCTTTTCCTTCTCTCTTTTGATTTTCCTTTTTCCATTTTTCTCTTTTCTCTTTTTTTTTTCTTTTTCTCTTTTCCTTTTTTTTCTTCTTCTCTTTCTATTTCTATTTTCTTTTTCTAGTTCCTGACTCTATTTCTGATTCCAAAAGTGGGGCATGAAACAAAAATTAAGCTCAAAATGGGTTGCAAAGGATAAAAGTGTTTGGGGAGCAGAATAAAATGCCTTCGTCATACCAAACTTTAAAAATGCCTAGTACAAACATGCAGTTGAAGAGAAGCAAAGAAATCCAAACAAAAGTGCCAATGGGCAATACCTCTGTACCAATAATGATCCTTGCCAGTTCGAAGCAAACTTGATTCAAACTTATCTTGATGTTGAAGAATGCATTTCAGCACTGGTTGATCTACCTTAAACTGCTTGAGAGACATTCCCTTGTTGTATGCTCTCATCAACCTCTTGATTTTCCAGACTAACTGCCTCAGTTTCACTCAATTCAAGCTTCAGGTTCTCTCAGAATGAATGAATCTTTACTTATTTCCTCAAATGTCTCTTTTTATCATGTTCAAAATTGTGTCATTACTTCATGATTAAACTAACTTTCAAGACCAGGCTGAGAATTATGCGTGCATGTCATGTTACTAGAGTCAGGCTGAAAAGGACTATAAAAGGAAAATTAACCTAAACAAAGACTGACCAGAACTTATAGAAAATAGGAAATTTCATTAAACTGATGGTGAAAAGGATTTGAACAAAACAAACAAAATAGACATGGATTGCAACCCTAGAACAATCCTAAATAACACTAGACGAGTTACTACAACTAAACGAACTAGACAAAATAAGAAGAAGAAGGGTTTGAGCCAAAAGTCAATGTCCGGATTACAACCCTGAAATAACCCGGACAACAGAAATGACATCAAAATAAACCACCAAAACTCCTTCCTGGCTATGCAAGAAAGGAGTGTATTTCCAATTACCAAGCTCGACATCTTAGCCACCGGGTTGCACATCAAAATTACTGGGACCTTCACCAATTTCAATATCATTAACTTCAGTCAGCAAGTTCCCAAGAGGATTCTCATACTTCATGTCACCACGCATCCTCCCCACAAAGTGTGCATCATCATATGTAGGTAAAAGATTCTGTGCAATGTTCTGGGTGTCACTGTCTTGGACCATAATTATCCCTTCTTGAATTATTCTTTCTATCTCCCTTTTCAAATCATGACAATCTTCAATGTTATGCCCTTGGACATTAGAGTTCTACATGCACCGTATGGTAGGATCAAAACCTTTTGCATATGGGTCCAGAGTATAGCCGATGAGCGGCTCAATCAGGCCAGACTATTTTAACTTTTCAAACAAGCTTGTGTAGGATTCTCCGATTGGAGTGAAAAACTTTTCTCTTTGCTACTGCCTTCTCATTTTGTACTCCGGCCTTGGTTGGAACCTCTTTCAGGTAGGGGGTTTATATGCTTGTAGAGGTGGGTAAGACATTTGTGGATGCGGTGCAAGTTGTTTGCGGGTTTTGTGAGTGGGAAGCATATGGCAATGCATTGTGGATAAAGTACTGGGGAGGTAAGGTATGACTTCGAGGATTTTTTGGAGGAAAGTAGCATTGGTGAGGATTATCTGGAGTACAAGGATATTCATGAGGTCGGTATTGAGGCTGAAAGTGTTTAGCAGGAATGCCCACTAGATCATGTCGTTGGCGGGGCTCAACAACATCTTTTCTACCAATTGGATAACTGACCCGAGCAACTTGTTGGTTCCATCTGAACAAAAACATCCTGAAACTTTACTTGGGCCTCTTTCCTTGGGCATCGGGGACTTTGAACGCAGTCTCTCTAGAGGATCGAGGAAGAGTAGCTGGTGGAGGAGCTACAAAAATAGGAGCTGATGTCGGAGCAGGGTATGAGGTTGTTTTGTCTGGTAGAGCGTGGAAAATTTGGGAGGAAGTTCCAAGGTAATTGTGGTAAGGGGTAAAGCTCGGTGCGTGTTGAGGGGAAAGCTCGACGGTAGTGGGAACCTGGGCTTGTGATAGTGGTGGGATAGTTGCAGGGTTTTCAGCGTAGTTAGTGGGGAATGAAGGTAGAGGATTCCCCCTGATCCAAGACTGATGCATTTCTGCCATCTGTTGTTTCAACCTCTGGACCTCCTCTTTCAATTCAGATTACGACTTCTCAATCTCCCTCGACTGGTCAACAACTCTTGTGTCCAAGTCTTTGCTAGCCATGGGTACCTTGCTCTTTTGACCTTGTGTCACACAGATGACTCGCCAAAGTGCCACAAACTAACCACCCTCTGTTATGATAACAATGAAAGTAACAAAAGAGAGCAAAACAAAGCCAACAGGTTAGCTTTAGAGCATTTATCAGATAGAAATATCACATTGCATGCAATGCCCCTAGCAACAATTAATGGCTCTAGAATGGCTTCGAGGGTACGAAAGTCATATGGCATCATCCCAATTTCACTCTTCTTGCCCCATTTCCTTCTTCATCTTCCTTTCTAACACCGCCTGGTTTTTTATTTCCTTTCCCCTCTTTTCTTTCTGATTATCGCTCTTTTCTTTCCTCTCATTTCTCATGTCCCACAACTTCATTCTCTTTTTTTCTTCTTTTTATTTTAATATTATTTTTAAAAAAAAAATAATAATTCAATCGAACCCTATGTAGATTGCCTACGTATCATGTCCCTCATGAATCAGATCAAGCGTAGTTCTGAAAAAGTAATGGACAAAATAAACTAAAAAACAAAAATCTTTTTGGATTTTTCATAATATTTTTTTTGGTTTTTGAAATACAAAATGGGAAGTACTCTAATAATAGACTCGGCAATCTTAACTAGACTGACAGACTCGATACTACTGTACAAGACTAAAAATTAAAAAAAAAACATAAAATAGACTAAAAAATAAAAAGTTTCCTCAAGCAGCTCATGCATGCAATGGTCTTGACTAGAATGGTCCTAGGGTATTTGTCATGCTCAAACTCTTGCAAATTGATCCATACCTGAATGGTAAAAATAAGATCAAATAGAGTTAGTGACTTACGACACATGTGACGCCACGACACCTTCTATTGGACACATACAAGACATGATTAAGGCTATTTTTGTAAAATGACCTACGTGGCCAAGGATGATTGTTAGTGAAAACTCAACAAAGGTGACCTCAAAGACATGGAAATACATCACTAAGGCTTATATGGATTCAACTCCTGAACATCATGGCCCAAAATTAATTTGCAGAAATGACCCATTTGTAGAAATGGCCGATATGGCCAGAGGTGGCTAATAATGCGAACTCAATAAGGACGGTCCTTAAAGTAGTATGACACCGAGTTGTGTACTCAAGATCCTAAGACATGGGTAATTGAACCACTTTTGCGAAAATGAACTCATTTTGCAAGAATGGCCGATGTGGCCAAAAGTGGTCGGACATACAAATTCAACAGGAATGGACCTTAATACTGAGAGGACACCTTGATATGGGCTTAGGATACTAAGACATGGGTTAACAAGACATTTTGCAAAAATATCCCTATTTTGCAAAAACAACCGATGTGGCCAAACGTGGTTGGACATGCAAGATTTGGCTAAGATCCTATGTAGGTTGCCTACGTATCTCGCCCCGAAAGATGAAAATCAGGTATACGTAGTTTGGGATGATTGGATATGGGAGAAAACTTAGAAAATGACACTAATTTGGAAAAAAAATATATTTTTGTCTTTTTGAAAAATGATGAAAAATGTAAAATCTTTTTGGATTTTCTTTTTCTCTTTTTTTTTTGGAAAATAATGGAAAAGTGTAAAATCTTTTTTTTTTTTTTAAATTTTTTGGCTTTTCTTGAAAAAGTTGTAAAAGAAAAATATACTTGGACCCTACTTGCTTCAGTTTTCACCCTTCTTTCCCAAACATCGGTCCGCCAAATGACCTTTTACCCTCAAAGATGCAACATGTATCACATAGGGATGATTGAATGTCTTTTTGGGCCACGAGTCCATTTTTGACAAAATTTGGATAGGCTTCCAACAATGGGACACGGTGCCTGGGATCGAACCCTCCTAGGTTTAAATGATATGATGTACATAAGCATGACCTAAAGGCTGACTTACGGTTGGGGCTCACTAGACAAGGCAATTCCGGGCGACACGTGGTCGATGGCGGCTGCTCTAGCTGTCCGCCCACTCCACGCTCAAACGTACTCCAGAAGACTGGTTGCAGAAAGAAGACTCATGCTTATGATGAAAGTTTATAAAACAGTAACACATAAAGGAAAACTGTAAATAAATAAGCATCTAGCAAATAATAAAAAGGCATAAACAAAAATAAATTCAAATAAAGCAAAAAAAACACATAAAAACCTCAACCTAATATCCTAAAAGCCAACAAGATCAAGTACTAGCTCGAACCTGCAATTTTCCAGCAGAGTCGCCAGAGATGTCACACCCCTTTTTTAACAAAACTCTCACTAAACCCTCCTAAATTAATAAAAAGATTTAGTAAAAGCTTGAAAAAAGGTTTTCAATTTGAAAAGTGACAAAATTGTGTGTTCAAAAGGATTAACACAGAGTCGCCACCTGATATTTGATTTCGGTGTGTCAGGTCACCAGTTGTCCAAAAGTAATAATTTTCCTTTCAAAACACTTTAAACTCTAAAACTAAGTCTACACCAGAGATTTGGGTAAGGGGGTTCATTTGACTCGGGGAGAAGGTTTTAGGCACTCCCCAAGTTCCGTGAAGGTCATGGTTGCGTACTCGATCTAGTTGGCTTTTAAAATGTTCGAATTGAGGCGAAATCACACAAAAAAAGGAAAATAAACACGAAAGATGCTCGAGGTCGTCCCCACCTAAAATAAAGAAAAGAAAAATGAAAATAAAATAAAATACTAAGTGTTTATACTTTTGGCCTCCATTTACATTCACTTCGGGGCATACCCCGGATAAAAATATATACAAAGTCAACGGGGCATTCCCTGGATAAATTTAACTAAGGAAACGATCTCTCGCCTCAAAACTACAAAATCCTAAGGCTTGCCTATCCATGTATTGCCGGCCTAAGCATGCTCCGACCGATTAATTAGTAAATAGATCTACGCAAGTGAAAAATTTAGAACATTGACAACTTATGTTTTACCTCATTGCGTAACTTTAGATCCAATCTTATTTTAAAGCACATCTCCAAAGATTATCCTCTTAAACTCAACAACTAGTAGTCAGATTTGTCCAAATTCACAAATTTACGCTAACAAACATATTTTTCATAGGCTATAGGAATCAAATAATCTCAAGTGACTAAACATGGATCAACTTCTTGAAATAGTACGTGCCCATGAGAGACCAAGCAATGAGAACAAACATGAACACATATTCAAATCATTAATATGATTCCTAAACCAAGCACATTCAAATCACTAATTATATAACACAGATTAAATGCAATCTAAACCAAAGCTCCATATCATATTTTTATATCACAAAATGAAAGAAGTAATAAGAGAATGAAGAGATGGACCTTTCGACAATGGAACGGGAACCATGACTAGCGATGCCGAACGGAACACCTATCGACCTCGACTCTCCATCGATGACTGAAGTTGACAACTGTTGCATCTGGAATTTCCACTTCCAACCCAAAATCGTCACCAATCGAAGACTGAATAATGACAAACCAAGCTCTAATAAAGGCGACGTGAGTTCTTTAGCTACTTAAGAGCCGCTGCTGCTGGTTTTCGATGATTTGGCGGCCATTGGTGCTATTTTTGGTGAGTCCGGTGGTGGAGGAACAACAGCTGATCTACTGCGAAGGTGAAGGAGAAGAACCGGGGGTGTGCTGGTGTGTGATGAAGGAGCAAAAGGTGGTCAGTGACAGTTGAAGGTGGCGTGGATGCTGGTCGGCTATGGTGTTTTAGAGATCAGAGGTTGGGCGGCCATGGGAGTCTCTTGTCTTCATGAAGAAGAATCTAGGGCCATTGGAGAAGATGACTGGAGAAGACGCGATCTGGGTGGCTCTGTTGATGTCTTCAATTAGGGTTCTAGGTTTTGTTTTGTTCTTTTTTAATGAGGAAGATGGCAGCCCTCTCTTTCTAAGTCTATTTGTTTTTTGATTTTTCTTATATATTATCTTAAAATGGGTGTCTAGGTTTGGACTTTTGAGTTAATGGGCTAAGGGATTGGTTTAATTGGGCTACAAGGAAGATTAAATTGGTCAAAAAACTAATTCTATTCTCTCCTCCTTTTTGTATATAAAAATAATGTAACAAACAAGATAACTATTTAAAATACTAATTAATCTTACTTAAGAACATAACTATTAAAATAATACTAACCGTTTAAAACTAATGAAACTATTTTTTTGTAATTTTCATTTATGTGATAAAAAAATAATGTAAAAGAGTCAAAATTAGTTGAAATAACTATATTAGGCCTAAACTAAGTATTTAAGTGCTAAAATATGTAAAATCTTGGGGAGGGTCAAAACCCATATGTCTACAGATTTCATAGAGAGAACGACAATGTAATTGCTCCAGGAGCCGAGGTTCCACCGGGTTATAATCGAGATGCTACAGGCTCAGCAGGCCGCTATTGCTCAGCTTCAAAACCAACATAGAACTCCGAGTGGGGTTGAGCCGGAAATCACTTGTCGTACCGAGCCAGTGCTACAAAGGTCAAATGGTAACGGATCGGGGACCGATCCTGCAATAATGAAAATGCTCGAGGATCTGACCAAGAGAATAGAGTCAAGAGAGAAGAAAATCGAAGCTAATGATAAAAAAAATGGAGACATACAACTCTCGAGTTGATCAGATACCGGGGGCACCGCCAATCTTGAAAGGGATAGATTCGAAGAAGTTTGTACAAAAGCCATTTCCTGAAAGTGCGGCTCCGAAGCCTATCTTAAAGAAGTTCCGTATGCCATACATACCCAAATATAAAGGGATGACTTATTCCAATGAGCACGTTACTTTATATACATACACCATCAAGGGTAATGATTTAGAAGATGATGAGATCGAATCTGTGCTGTTGAAAAAGTTCGGAGAGACCCTTTCAAAAGGAGCAATTATTTTGTGTCACAACCTGATGCCAAATTCCATCGACCCGTTTTCCATGTTAGTGGATTATTTCATAAAGTCACACTCCGGGGCCATAAAGGTCGCAACAAGAAAATCGGACATTTTCAAGATAAGACAAAGGGATAATGAAATGCTGAGGGAGTTCGTGTCCCGATTTCAAATGGAACGCATGGACTTGCCACCGGTAACAGATGATGGGGCAGTTCAAGCTCACCCAAGGGTTGAACAAGCGAAGTTCGATAGCATCACGTCAGTTGAAACAAAATTTGATTGAATATCGAGCCGTAACTTGGGCAGATGTGCACAATTGATATCAATCGAAGATCAGGGCCGAGGACGACAAATTAAGAGCCCTTTCCAATTCAATACATCCAAACAGGTCGGTAGTTAAAGACCAGAGGGACGGCGAGAGGATCCGAGGTGGAATAGAGAACGGTATCAACCATATGCCGCAGATCGAAGGAACAATAGTACATGATGCAATTCCACCCGGAATGATCGAAGAAGTGATCGAGGATAGAATTCTCGGGGACTTATGAGCAAAAGTGCTTTTGATAATTATGTCGATCCCACAGAGGCACCTCGGCTATTGGAATATAACTTTAGTGTCGATGCATCAGGCATTGTATCGGCAATTGGAAAGATAAAAAATACTAGGTGGCCCAGACCCATATAGACCGATCTTTCCCAAAGAGACCCCAATTTGATGTGCAAGTATCATGGCACGCATGGTCACAGGACCGAGGACTCCAGGCAATTAAGGGAGGAGGTAGCCCGTCTATTCAATGAGGGCCAACTTCGAGAGTTCTCAGTGATCAAGCCAATAATCATTTCAGAGAAAGGGACGCCAATAGAAAAAATGAACAGGAGGAACCCCAACATGTCATTCATATGATCGTCGGTGGGGTCAATATTCCATATGGACCCATATTCAAACTCACCAAGGTATCAATCACTAGGGAAAAACGAACCCAAGATTATGTGCCCAAAGGCTCCTTATCATTCAGCGATGAAGAAGTAGAAGGCATTTCTCAACCATATACCGACGCTCTGGTAATTTCTATTTCATTAAATAAAGTTCAAGTTAATCATGTTTTAGTGGATCCAGGTAGCTCAGCGAATATCATCTAATCGAGGGTCGTGGAGAATCTCGGCCTACAAGATCAAATTGTCCCCACATCTCGGGTCTTAAACGACTTCAATATGGCCAGTGAAACAACTAAATAGGAGATTATTTTACCAGTGACGTGGCTTGAACCATTCATGATACCAAATTCCACATGATTGAGGGTGACATGAGGTACAATGCCCTACTCGGAAGGCCTTGGATCCACAATATAAGGGCAGTCCCTTTGACTCTCTACCAAATAATGAAATTCCCGACGTCGGACAGTGTAATAACAGTATACGGTGAGCAGCATGCTACAAAAAAAATATTTGCGTTCGACGAGGTAACACCGATATCGACGTTATCAACCTCGGAAAAGTTTAGCATCAAAGGTAACTAGGAAGCCAAATAGCAATCACAGCCACCAACCTCGACTGAATCTGGGAAGCAGGATATAGAAGACGAAAAGGAGGATTTTCTAACCCCTCAAACCTTTACTTTTCCCGAAGATTCCGACGCTACCAAATCAACGGTCAAAGAGATGGAACATGTTATATTGATCGACTACCTACCCGAGTGAAAGGTATACCTGGGAATATGGTTATCTCATGAACTCAGGAAATAGCTTATTCAATTTCTTATTAATAACATAGATTGTTTTGCTTGGTCCCCTTTAGACATGACAGGGATCCCACTGTAGATAACGACGCATCGGCTAATCCTGAACCCTAGGTTCAAACTGGTGAAGCAAATGAGAAGACCCCAGTCCGAGGTAAAGCACACATTCATAAAGGATGAGATAACTAAACTTCTCAAAATAGGGTCCATTCGGGAGGTGAAATATCCTAAATGGTTAGCCAATGTAGTCATGGTCCCTAAAAAAGGGAACAAACTTACTAGGCGTTTGGCCATGAATTCCAAAATAAATTTTCAAATTTAGAATTTCACTAAAATTTGAATTGAAGATGAAGTTGTGTTTGGTTATAATTTTTGCGACATATTTGAATGTCTTTTTTTTGCAAAACCATGAAATATGATTTATACCCTATAACTTGTAAAAAATATCAAAACTGTCCCAATTTAATTATACTACTTGAAATAAACAATCAAACATGATATTGTTTAGCAACATGGTAGTCGTCACAAGAAAAAGGGTTCATTATCCGCTGCAGTAGCTTCTTCTGATAGTTGAGGGGAAACACGTGGGTAGTTGTAGGTTAATAATTATTGGGGTCATTTTATAAATTTTAAAAGCATAGGGTAAATTGTTAAAACTAAAAACTAATGAAAAATCATTTTCAATTGAAAAACTGGTGAGAAATGGTTTTTCAAATTTGAAAATGCATTTTCAAGTGAAATTGGAAAAATTGGTAAGATATGTATAACCAAACATTGTTTTAAAAAAAAATATCGAAAAAAAACAAAATTTTTGTATGTCCAAACGGGCTCTTAGAATGTGTATAGATTATAAAGATTTAAACAAGGCAAGCCCTAAAAAATCTTTTTCACTGCCTAACATCGATCGCATGATCGACGCCACGGCAGGCTACGAGATCCTTACTTTTCTCGAGGCATATTCCGTGTACAATGAAATTCAAATGAACCCGGAAGACCAAGAAAAAACTTCATTTATCACCAAGTATGGAGCATATTGTTATAATGTAATGCCCTTCGGGCTAAAAAAATGCAGGAGCTATTTACCAACGCCTAGTAAATAAAATGTTCGAAGAACAAATAGGTAAGTCAATGCAAATTTATATCGATAATATGCTAGTTAAGTCCCTGCGCACAGAAGACCAATTGGATCATTTGTAGGAAACGTTCAATATTTTGAGGAAATATAACATGAAACTCAACCCTCGATAAAAGTGCTTTCGGGGCCAGTTCGACTCATATAATAAACTCAACCACGCTTTAAATATCCAACTATATAAGTTATTCATCCTGGAAGGTACGCACTATATAAGTTATTTCTCCGAATTTATCAAGCTTCGACCAATATGAGAAGTATTAATGTCATGATCAATTCTAAGTAGGAAATGACCAAGCTTTAGCAATTCATAATATTGGTATATCCTCTTTTTCTAACTCTTCTCATCAAAAGTTCACTCTAAAATATATTCTTCATTTTCCCTCAATTACTAAAAATCTTCTGTCTATTCAAAAGTTTGCACTTGACAATAATATTTTCTTTGAGTTTCACCCTTACTACTTTCTTGTCAAGGATCGAGCAACTAAGACACCACTTCTTTCCGGAATGAGTAGCAATGGTCTTTACACCTTGTCAATCAAACGCCGCTCCTCAACTTCACCTTCCGCTCATCTTGCAGTCAAGCGTTCTTCCTCATGCTGGCATCTCCATCTTGGCCACCCACGCCGATGTGACCTTCATCAACACAACCTTCCAGTTTCTGGTTCTAGGATGAATAACTTATATAGTGCTTGTCAACCCGGCAAATCACATAAATTGTCACTTCACTTCGAGTTAATAATTGTATTTTTGTTTTACAATTAATTTTTGCTGATGTATGGGGTCCTTCCCCATTCTTGTCATCTGATGGTCAAAAATATTTGTTGATCTTTGTTGATGATTTTTATCTGGGTTTATATGGTGTTACCCAATTTTTATAATGTCTGATGTTGTAAACGTATTTCTTCAGTTTAGAATCATCATTGAAAAACAACTTGATACAAATATAAAGGCAATTCAAACTAATGGGCTTGGAAAATTTCATCTGTTGTCCAGTATTTGTGCTCAACTAGGAATAAATCACAGATTTGCTACTCCTCACACTCATGAACATTAAGGAAATGTAGATCAAAAACATCGACATATTGTGGAGTCAAGTTTATGTATTATGCCTCGTAGCTCAACACCTTTAAATTTT